TAGACACACAGCAGAAGGATGGGTAGGGAATAAGGGCACAAGACTGCCAAGATATCCCCTTTTTAAATCAAAAACTGTGTTTTCTCATAGTACGAAAAAACACTATAGTGTTTCTCAGCAAATCTGTAGACGAGTGCATTTTTATTAACACACTCCTTCCTTTTGTTAATATTGTGAGATCTTCTCATTCCATTTTTTTTCTGTTTTACCCTTTTACACAAACTCAGAGAGGCACTGTGGGGAAAGACCACTAAGGAACAGCAGGGTTTGGTGCTGACAGCTGGGGGAAGAGTCATCCACTCCCCACACCATTCACTTGGCCTCTCATCTGGAGCTTTTCAGCAGTGCAAGAACACATTAATCTGAATCAGTGACCACAATGGGCATTTTCTGTCCACTGGGCAGGCTGCTCTCTTCAGTAGCTAGGACAATTTTTATTATTGTTTCTACACCCCAATTACTTAAGTTGGATTTTCAGTATTAGAAAGTTATTGTCACACTGAAAGCCCTTAATGAATGTCATTAGGGGACTTTTGAGTGAAAAGACCATCTCAGACCTCCACCTTTTTAAAGGCTGGAAATGCCAAGCACTCCTTCCAGCTCAAGAGAAAGAGCAATCAAACCCCATTCTGAAGGAAAAACAGCTGTGGTTTGCAAGAGTGGGTCAGAGTTAAACACAACATCCTCACAAACCAAGCATACATTGTTCAAAATTGGCAAGAAGCAATCACACATGGCCTGACCAAAGAAACCAAACGGTCTTATGACAGGTCATGGTGGCTACTTTCTTTAGCCAACATAGCTGAAATCATAAGATGCATGAGAATGCCATCAGTTTTTCTTCTTGATCTTAAATTGATCTTTTGATCTTGAATTGATCTTGATCTTTTCTTCTTGATCTTAAGTGATGTGCTGGAAGCACAAAGAGCACTTGGTGATGCAGTAAGTAGGGAGGATGGGTTTCCTGATACCAAACTTACTGGAACAGTAAAGAAGAGGTATTTGTGAAGGGAAGAGAATTACTTGTACTTATATAACATTGACACTGAAGTTATATAGAAAAATGCCACAATACTTTATGTGTTTTCAGAACTCAGAAGTGATTAGTACAACCACACAACAGGAAAAAATCTTAACTTTCCTGAAGATGGCAGTGCCTCGAAAGAAGGAAATCATACTTACGGATATTTAGGTTTCTCCATATTACGTTTTTTTGAGAGACAAGAAAAATCATAACAAGCAAACAAGCAAGACTGAGATATCCTGGCAGTGATTTCAGGCCACAGAAAAAAAAAAAAATGGTCTTTGATTACAATCACAAAAAAAGTAGAACTTCTCAATTCTCTCTATCAGCTACAAGATGTGACTTCCTCATTTGTCATGTTTTGGCCTTCAGTAATGCAGAAAACCATGGCGTTGCAAAGATCTACAGCAGAAATGTTAAAACTGGACTGGATAGACACACAAACAGAAAGGTTCATCTGTGAAAACACCAGAAGAAATAGGTTTAAAAGATGGGTATGTACCAATAAACCTTGCCCTCTGTGTCACGTACCAGTGACCCTGTCCAGTTTTGTTTCACACATTTTTGTCCTTGTGAATATGTGAGTACAAAAGGATTGTGATAAAAGTGTTTGGATTAAATTATGAATTACCTTTCCTCTCATTATTTTTGCAATGAATTTGTTACATCATTTTCCTATGGCACCTAATGATTGATTGAGTGATTGATTTGTGTGTGTGTGTGTATTAATAGTATAATTCTGTTTGGCCAGGTATCAATAACATTGGCTCATCTGGGGTCAGATTGTTATTTCTTCATCTTTCATTTTTACTATAAACTTCATCTTGGATCTGGAAAACTTTCATGACAGAATTTAGTTTAATCTCTAGGAAAAAATTCTGCTCGTCTCCAGTGCAAAATCTGACAAAATCAAAAACTGCTTTGCTTTTCCAAAATAGAAATTGTTCAATACCAGTGCCAGCAAAACAGATTCCTGATGGCAATCTGGAGCTGCCTGGGAAGCAATATTCCTACAGCAACAAAACAACTCCTAATGTCCCAAGCCATCAATGCTGGAGATGTCTGAGAAGCCAGCTTTCACTCCAGGTAGCCCTACGGTACTGTGACTCCCACAGGAGCATCTGCAAAAGGTAAAAGCCAAAGGTGGTATCCCTGAGTGTATTCCCCTCATATCTGTATTTACTTCAGAAGAAATAAATAGGTACTGAAGTGTTGCTGGTGTGAGTGAAGATCTGCTAGCTAGCTAACTGATGCAGACCAGTGTGCTCCAGTGGGAACCAGAGCCCTTAATCAGGGTAAAAAATCTGTGTGTTCAGGAAATTTTGGCACAGCCAGGAAGGAGACAAGGAGTTACAAAAAAAAACCACAGCACCGTCAGCAGGTGGCTTTCATTCCAGACAGGCTGCAGTAGAGACTGGGAGCAAATTAATACAATAGGAATATAATCCTTTCAGAAGCCATCTTTATCCTTGTTTAATCTTTTTTCAAACTGCCACTGATACAAAAACATCTCTGTGTGTGTGCTGGAAGTGAGAGGAAGTGCTTTTAGCCTAGGACCACAGCTCAGAGCAATATTTGACTTGAAGAGAGCAGGGGAGTTGCATGAAGAGCTGAGAAAGCTGTTGCAAACTGTTCTTACCTGGCAGACAACTGAGGAAAGCAGAGCTCTCAAAGCACGTAACCTTTCTGTTGGTTTATGGGGAAATCTCAGGCCCTTGATGAGCTGGAACGGCTCTGTGAGCGTTAGGTAACTACTCTGAGTATCTAAAGACCTGGCAGAGCTGATGAAATGAAATGTCATAGAGGGTTGTATGCCTTTCCTCTTTAGCCCCAAAGGTTTATTACACAGAGAGGTGTGGATTGTAGCTCTTGGTGAAGGACAAAAACCATCCTGGAAAATTAAAATGTCCCACAAGTAGAGAGTGAGAAGAAAATTGAATCAAATAGCAGTGACTGAGGAGGGATATTTGTTAAATGCAAAACCTTTCCAGAGATACTGTGCCCCAGAGGAGCAGCCACATGCATTAACCACATGAGCTCTACATGTGACCACAGGCCAGTGATTTTTTATGGAGATTAAAATTTTACTGCATCCAGTGGAAAGTCTTCTGTTGGCTTCAGTAGGACCATTACTGCATATGAAGTTGTTGCAGGCATCCTATGCAAAGAAAATAATTTACATCTGAGTTTAATTATGGCAGTTTAATACTTCTGAAGAGCTGAACCAAACAAGCTAAAAAAGAGAGAAACACTGCAGAAATAAAAGATGCCAGTGAAAGCAGCTGTTAAAGCCAGAGAGAGCTCTGGCGAGGTGGGGGCTTGGTGCTGTTGGCTAAGATGCACACCCTGTGAGCAAAGTTTCAGCGATGTGAAGCATTCATCCCAGAACATTTTACAGTGTATTATAAGTCAAATCCATACTTAGAGCTAAACAATGGTGTCATTATTGAAAGAGTGGCCCAGGACCGGGTGCCTTACTCCAAGGGAGAGTTCCTGCCTCTGAATCTTGTCTTCAGCTCAAGGTCAACAGCATCACTACACTTATTAAGTAAAGCTTGAGTGTCAGAACAGGCATCAGCATTTTCTGATGGCCAATTTTGACTCTTCATTGTTTAACTTGTTCACAGTTCTGCAGTGATAATTCTGGGGTACCTCCTTCTTCCCAAGAGAGTGGAAAGAGGAGGGAGCTGTGGCAGTGGGGCCAGCAGAAGACAATATGCACACTGGGCAAAGCTGCGATGCAATTCACTCTCTCAGTACAAGGCCATGCAAGGAGAAAATGAAATAGCCATGGGTCCTCTCCTCAATGGCTTAGAGGTCTCATAGTGCCCTATTTTCCCCAGATGTGGGGTGGCAGCCCACAGCTAGTCTTGAGCTGTCTGAGGTGGTGGGTACACACTCTTTTGGGTGTTACAAAACAGGAGGACAAATGGTCCAAGCTGAGAGGTGTGGTACCATCAAATTTAGGAGACAGAGCATTTGCTAATAGTGTCCCCAGTTTCATGTTTTGTAGTCATCAAATCAAAGGGAATTTTCAGTGAACATGGAGTCAATATTGTAAGACCTGATCCATACCACAAGGTCTCTGATGTAAAATCCACTCTAGTAATATGAATCTTAGGCCTGTTTTTTTTGCTTGCAAATTACAACCTAATTACTGGTGTTGGCACAAATAGTGCTGCTGGCTTTGCAAAATTTCACTGTCTGTTGTTCTCCTAATCCATCCCAAATCAGTGTTTCTAATTCCTTCAGAAAAGTAGGAGGCACAGAAATATTTTTTCTTCTTTACACGTACTTATGTTAGGTGGAAAATTCACTATATTATTATTATTTTTTTTTGCATTGCTGAAAATAAACTACTATATTGGTTTTAAGGTTTGCCTGTGCAGTGTGTGCACAAAAAACTACATTTAAGTTTTCACATTTTTCCTCCTTTAATTTTACACATATCAGAATTTACCATAAACAACTTTTTTATATTATTATTATTAATTATCACATTACCTAACCCTGAAATAAGAGGCCCTTTGCAGACTTTGGCAGGGATCCTCATGCTGCTGTTATGATGAAGAGATTAAAGGACCTCACTCTCTGCTGCAGCAGAAGCAGAACATCAGCAACCGGTCCACTGGAGTTGTGTAACGCAGGTCAGTGCCTGGTTTAAATCCCATCTGCAGTGAGTTACAGGTTGCACTTTGCCATAGAGCATTTTTCTATGGCATTTGGTCACTCACTCCCTTTCTTCATTGCATGTGAGGGTAGATATTTGTATTACACTCCGTGGTTGATCTCACAGAGCTCATGTTCAGGAAGGAGGGAGAAAACCCTCCTTACAGGAGTGCAATGTAGATTGTAGGAACCAGCTGCTGTAAAAATGGGCAGCTGAAGTCAACAGGAACCCACCTGTGCAAACGAGATGCAAAAGGGGGTATAAAAAGCTCTTTAGCAGCTGCTATCACTCTTCCTTCAAAAGCATGGCTTGCACAGAAAAAGTCCTTAGCTATACTAATTTTCCTGTTTAATCTTTTTTTTAAATTTTTATTTAATTAGGAAGTTTTGGTTTCATTGTTTCTAGCTTTTAATATGTTCTTTGACTATCCTCATTTATTTGAAAACCCAACATGTAGTACAGCCTTCTGCTTTCTTGAAGACCATGTCCAGCAACATTATTTTAACGTGGTAGTGGAAAAACGTAAGTTCATTTTAATTCTACACACGCATATTCTGAAAGTGATGAGGATGATACTTGTTTCTCTGAGCTCTGCATATTTTAACCTTTTTTTTTTCACCTATATTTAAACATATATTTATATGTATATGTTGGTGGTTTTAATGTTGTACATGTTGATACTAATTTAAAAAAAATACTGTTTTTTTCTGCAAGTAACCTTAAGAGTGCTATAAATTCTGAGGGGAAGAAAATTTCTGTAGGAGCAAATAGAATTAAATGTTTTAAATTAATCTATTTTAAAAGATATAGCTGTGATTTATATAAGGCCTGGATAGGAAAAAAAAAAAATCACTTATATAAATTTCAGGGACTTAGGAAGGAAATAAGTTCACACTTTTTTTGCTCTTTGCCTCCACACTGCTGCTATCCCCCCACATCTACCTAGTTTCTCTTTTCTTCAAATCAAGATATTCTGATTTATCGTGTAACTTTGGGTTTCCTTATTATGTGTACTGGTGTCAGCAGATACTGAATGTGATTTAAGTCTGCAGTGCTTGGAACTGATAAGATCAGAAGCTGTGGTGTAAAATAGGGAAAAGCTAAAGAGAAAACCTGAGCTTGCTTCATGATGAATAGAGCTTTTCTAAGAGTCCTAAGGAATAGAAAAAAAGTGGAAAACTTAATTTTCTACTTGGAAAACTGTCTCTAGTTAAGCATATTTTTTTTATTTTTTTTTCTCTGCATAATGTTGTCTTGGAGTAAAGTTAATATTGGCTGCAAATGCTTCACGCTTCCAAGATTTCAAAGTTTTGATTAAGTTTAACCTTAACTATTCTGCATGCGTATGGATGTTTAAAATTCTTGATTTAATATCTGTGTAACTCTGACACTATCTAAGGTATGCTTAAAATCTTAATTTCCACTCAGTGTGATGAGAATACAGGAAACTTGTAAACTTGAGTTGGTGACCGATTAGTCTGAGATTAGGTAATAATAACCATATAACCAGGAAATATTGTGCTAGTTTGTACTCCTTTTTATGAGTAGGCTTGGCAAATCTGTTGAGAAATAGGCAAGAAGAAAATTTGGTTAGAGAATAGCCTCTGAAAGTGTGGATATGCCATCTCTGTCTTAAAATGCAACTGAGCTCTCTGAAAGCAAGCTGTGGTGGATATAAAATGAAAGAGCTTGTTAGAAGAAACATTCTTTGGCAGACCCAAGTCAGTTGGTCATATTGGTTCATATACATATGATTAGATACTTTCTGAAATGTGCCATATCAAGCAATTTTTTGCTTATGTATGATTTACCTGTGTGCACCCATGCTTGCAGGCACACCTTATTTATGGGGATATTTTGGTCTCAGGTATGATTAGATGGCCCAGCTCTCCTCATAAGGTATTGTGATGTTCCCTTTATCACCATACAGAGAGTAGATTTACGTGCTGTTGGGTGCATGAGCCCCCAATGCAGAATGTTTTGTCCTGAGCTCCAACACCATGCATGTGTCACTAACCTGGCCCTCGAATAGGTGGTTGTGACAACAAACCTGCTCTCCTCTGAGCACCTGGGGGAGTTGGTGCTTCCCAGTGCTCACTGGGGATGCTACACCCTCCCTGAGGGCCAATCTGCTCTTACACCTCTGGTAGAGCATTTCTGAGCAGGGCACACAGTAATGTGCATATGCAGCTCAGATAAGGGCCTGAAGCTTGTTGCTGGTGTGATTAAAAAACCTTTTCATTTGATCAATGTTTGCTTGTGATGGCTAGTAAGGCTATTGAATATGGCTGATGCCTAATGCAACATGTTAAGTAAGAGATTGGAAAGTGAAGTAAATAATTAGTAGCTGATGTCCAAGAGTTGCAGTGGCTCTGGCATGCTTGTGTACAATGGGAGAGACAGCAAGTGCCTGGTGAAAGCATGCTGGCCCAGTGCTGTGAGGTGTTACATATATATATGTGTATATATATATATGTATATATATATGTGTGTGTGTGTGTGTGTATATGTGTATATATATATATTGAACTTGTTTCAAAACCAGTGCATATCTTGGGGTTATTTTGAATAGCAAAATACCCTGTTTGTTGGCCCTAGATGTCTTCAGAGCTCAGTGGGGTGACTGGGGACTTGAATTTAAAATTCTACCCCGTGGTTATTTTTTTTGTTTGCTTGTCCTATTTTTGTTCTTTCACTCCTGGATGTATACTTTCTGCAACTCCTTTGCCATCGCACTTCTTGACTGTAGTGAGGAAAAACAAAGTAGCTAACTCATCCATCAACATTCACTCACACTGAGATTTCTGTGGCTTAAACTGTTAGAAAAAAACACAAGACTCCTGTTGGGCATAGCCTGAGCTGGGTGTGGATTTATCACAGGAGGAGGTAGGGAGTGACTGACATTTGTCCTTGAGTGAAGACTCTACTGCTGCATAAGAAGAATTACCAGAAATGCCTGGTGCATGACAGAGCTGCTTCTGGAAAGAAGCAGAAGGTTGGAGAGAGAGAGAGAGAAAATGTTGAAGGGGAAGATATTTGCATGCAAACAGCATCAGTGCATCTGCACAGATGAGGTCTTTCCTTTCTTTTCTTTAGGGAAGTCTCAGTGCTGCTGTATCTTAGAGTATCTGTACTGTCCTGGGCAGAGGCTACTTGGCCCCAGCTAGGCAGAAAAATACCTGGTCTTCAGCTGTCACACTCAGTACTGTGTGCCCGCTATTGTCTACTTCTTTTGGATGTACCAGTTGGTGTAGTAAAAGTTATTGCATTTTCCTACCAACTGTGCCTTACTTTAGTATTCTAAGGAAGCATAAAGAGGAAAATAAAACATCGGTTCCTTATGTCTTAAACATCTTCAGGCTCGGCACCAAGAAATTCAGCCTCTTCTTGTTTTATTCTTGATACGTCTGTTTGAATAGAAATTACTGTAATTAACTCCAGATTTCAAAATATTAACACACGGAAGTGGCTGCGTACTCTCTAAACAAGTGTCACCAGGAGAACACAGACATTACAGGACACAGATAATTTCTATTCACTAGGCAAAGGAAAATATTAAGGAACTGACAATAAATGGAAAACTAGCTTTGTGAAGCTATCTTAAATGGGAAAAACATTAAAGTAAAATGTAACCATTATACTAAAATAAAAACAATTCAGCTTAATGTGGACAATCCTTATTTGATTAAAAAACAAAATGAACTCAAAAATAAACAAGCTGAACCCTGCTATTCATTATCACATTTGCCAGTTGTTGGCCTCATAAAACCTGTGGGTATTGCTCTTCTTTTTGGTGGAATGGTTATAGGAAAATTTTCTGTAAGGCCACAACTGCAAAAAGCTCTTCCCCCAACAGGGAAGGAACAGGCACTGCTGCTTACATTGGTAGCTCTGGGAATATTTCCTTTAAGTGCAGAAGGGGCCAGGTCTGAAGGACTTCTGGGTTCACCTTGGTGGGGATAAGTGACGCTGCTGTGCATTTGGACACAGACAACCAGTGTAGCTGAACACTGCAGGTGGTGGGAATAGAGAGATGCCAGACCCTTGTGAAAAGCCTCTGAGCCCCGAGCCAGCTCAGGGTGGTCAGACAGTGATTCATGGTTAATGGCTTCAATTCTTTTCTTTCTTTCTCCATCCATTCTGGGCACTTCTTCTGGGAACCTCAACAGTAATCATGTAATTTCCCACCCTATTTGCTGACTCCAGCTCTGCGTCTCCTGCCTATTATAAAATTCTAGGGTCAAGGGCTGGTACAGAAACTATACCACCAGAGTACACCTCAGAACCTTGGACAGTGAAATCCTGTGTACTGGCCCTGACATTCAGCAATTACTACAGCAGAAAATATAACAGTAGGTGATATACAGTTATGTTGATTCTTATCTGTTACTAGCACAGACATCAGGTAAAACAGAACAAAATGAGAAGTGGTTGGCTGAGAAAGCACAGAGCTGCTTTCCATCATTGGATTTAATGGATAACACTTTTATCAGCAACAAAATGTGTAGAATTGAAGCTGTCTAATATTATATGTGCTACTCAAGACTGGGTGTATGGATTCCTCTAGCAGAAGGTCAAGTAGCAGTTAGAGGAGCACACAATTGATGCTGTTAATGATATGGCCAGAGTCAGTGACACAGAACAGCTGGGAACCTCCATACCTGAAAGGCAGCAGATGATGGCTGGATTTGACACTATCTGTAGAAAAATAAAATATTACAACTGAGCTCCCCAAAGGATCCATTTTGTTTTCATATTCCCAAATTAACATATTTGGTTTGACTTCAAAATTAAAATAGAGTGTAATGTTTTAGAAGGCATTTTACAAAGGTAAAAAATAATGCACTCACTACTGCCCCAGGATATTCCTGTGACTTAGAGCTATTTTATCAGCAGAAGTATCTGAAATCTTTGTAATGGCAAGTAGGTTAGCTTAGGTAGAATACTTAGGAACAAAACATGAAAATCATATGACAGTCTTTGCTTTTCATATTTTCATACCTCCTTCCGTCAGCAGACAGGCTCAAAAATAGACTAATTCTGTAAAGGTCCTCACCAGTGTCCTTTTGATGCAGATTTTCAGTGTTGTCTCACTAGACAGCCATTTCTTTTTCTCATTGGATAGTTTCTCTGTTTCCTGTAAATGCCGCCGATCTAAATAATCCCCAGTCTGCCAGGGTAATTCAGAGGAGTGCAATGCCAGTCTGAGGCCACCTGATCTCGTGGAGTAATGTCTCAGATGTGAACCACTTTATCAGCTGAGCAACCACTGGCAACTACCTCGAATTCTCAGTCACCTCTGAGACTGGTATCCAGGACATCACGTGGGGGTAGGTCAGGGTGCTCTGCTTTTGTATTCCTAATGTATTAACAACACTAGCTGAATGGCATTAAATTAAGATGAAGTGATAAGACTGAATATATTTAAAACAAGGATTTCTATACCAGTTGGTTTCAATAACGGGATGGAAAACTTTAAAGATGGTTGGTGGCATATAAAAATGAACAAGTCAGGGAGAAGA